CGAAATGTCGGAGCACCTGTGGTTCAGTCAAGTTGACAAGTGACATGGATCGTCAGAGCTATTGCATGCATTATCTCTTAACTGTCTGTGGATTAATCCAATGACACAGATTCATAACTTCATGGCAACACTGAGAAGTGACGGAAATTTAAGGAAGTGGAGTGTAGTCAAAGGAGGTGAGTTATGTGGACCTGACCTTGGGACTGCACCCCATTGCCCGCTTTCCTCTGTTTCTCTCTCCCTCTCTCCCTCTCCCTCCATCTCTCTTTTCCCTCCTTCCTGGCCTCCATGAGGTGAGCAGCTTTGTTCTCCCACAGATTTCCACCATGATGTTTCTGCCTCCCCAGACCTAGAAGCAGTGGAGACAGCTAACCGTGGGCTGGAGCCTCTGTAACCGTGAGGCGAATTAAATCTCAGGCCTCCAGCTTCATGTCCTCGGGTATTTTGTCACAGGGATGGAAAGCTGGCACAAAGACTGACCAGAGAAGATGGAAGAAGTAGAAAAGAGAAAGTGTGACTAAAAGAATCAAGGAAGGATGAGCACAAGGAGAGTGTGTGTCACTTGAGGTTTGTAAAAGTTGAAACTGGGAGGGACTCACCTGCCTCACAAACACAAGGTCCCAAGTTCGATCCCCAGTACAAAAAGAAAGAAAAAAATGAAAAGGAGGGAGCTACAGAAGATGTTGCTTTGCTTGGCACGTGCAGTATAGTGATAAGGTGAATCCTGAATACCTTGTGTTTCAAAACCACCAAGTTCAAAGCAAAATAAAATAAAACTACCTAACCTTCTCTCTTTAGTGATTTGTTCAGCATTCACTCTCTTCTTCGTGAGTGGCATCCAGCAAATCAGTGTCATCTTGAAATCAGAGGCAAAGTTAAGTGGGAGACTTTTCCTGAAAACTTACACTCACAAAATCATGAAATGCTGGCTTGCCTAAGTCCCCTCTTCTTTTAGAAGAGCACTGTATGTCCCTCACTCCACCCTCTCTCCCATTCCACTCCTGTCCCTCGAATCTGCAGACAATACACTGGGACCCCACCTGTGGCTTCCAGAGGGACGGCTCTGACTCTTGGACTCTCGAGCATCAACCACAAGAAAGTCCTCTGAGTCATTCCAGGTTCTTGGGGGAGTAGGAGCCTCTCGTTTTACTAGGCAATCTCACATTTTCCCAATTTGGGGGAATTTTTGTATTTGTTTTGTGCAGATTTACTTCTCCGGTGGGAGGGGAGGGTACTATAGTAAGGAAGCGTGAGCCACAGTCCTGGCTCCATTCTCCTGTGCTGGGATTGGCTGTGCAAATCCTCAGGCACAGGCTCAGTGATGAGTTTCCCATTCTAGGCAGTTTAAGGTTTTAGCACTCAATGGAAATGTGCAAGTTGCCAATGTCTGCTGTGATTTTCTCCATATTTGAAGGCTTTTATAACTTTCAGGTGCGTGCACTGGGCCATTTCAGAAGAGTTGTGTTCTTCCAGGCATTTAGGGTTATAAATATGCAGATGTAATGTTATGAATGGGGCCTTCCAGACATGGAGATGCTGCCATACACGGTTTCTGTGTGCCATGAACTATGTGCTCGAAGTGCTTGATGACTTCAAATTCATTCAATTATTTAAATCCACGTAACCATAGAAGTCCATCACCGATATCCCCTTTATTTTTTATCTGTCCATGGTACAAAGGATAAATAACTTGTACACATTTGCACATGTAGTAAGTAAAAGAGCTGAAAATCAAACCCAGAGAGACTGGCTGGATCCAGAATCCACATTCTAACCACTGGGCTGTGCCACCTCCCACTGAGAGGAGTTAAAAGTGAGGCTAACATAAGAGAGGCCTCTGGCTGAGCCACACACCACAGGGCTGGGGATTATGCTGAAGTCCTCACGTGCTTCTTATTATACCATTATAGGAAGTTGTTGTTTCCCTGAAACAATATACGTACATGTCTATCTAGATGCCATGACTTTCAGGAACTGCAGAAAGAGAGGGAGAAAAAGGGATGCAGACTCAGTGTGATATTCTGACCGTGGACCCCGAGGGTCTCCCCCCACTACCACTCAGGAGCTCAGTAGAATCCTCCTCAGGGCCACGAGATGGGTGTCCTCCAATTCGGGTCTTATGTCCTCTCCAGAGACAGCACCAGGAGCCTAGAGGTGGGGTCCCAGTTCCCCAAGACTGTCCACCGGTTCGCTTGAAATTTCCACTGATGGCCTGTGTTTCTGACGGGCCGCTGCCACCGAACTCTGCAGTCGGGGTTGCCAAGGCTCTCAGGTTCGACTGACTTCCCAGTGTGGCTACAGGACTCAGGGAAACACAGTACTCACACTTACCGGTTTATTACACAGGGTATCAGGAAGAAGGGTACGCCATGTGGGCAGCTACCCAGGGGCTCTCGGTTTCATCATCCAAGAGATTTTCTAGAGCTTGATCTTCAGCCCCTCCTTCCCTCTTCTGCAGGACACAGGTGGGACTAAAAGTTTCGGTGATCAGCTCCATCCTGAGCCTCTTGAGGGCCCATCCTAAATCACCAAGTTACACAAACTCAGGTGTGGCCAGAGGGCTTGGAACAGAAGACACTCCTAACCCTCGGGCAACTCTGCAGGGCTTAGGAATTCTGTACAAAAATCAGTTTGGGCCAAAAGACATTGCTCTCTGCCTTGTTACTCAGGAAGCCCCAAGGGATTTCAGAACCCTACATCTGAAACCAGGAACAAAGACCGAACACATTTCACCCAACACCCCAGACACACCAAGACCATGTTCAAATATCTGGGAACAGCATCAGGAGAGAAATTGATAACTCACAAAATTTTCATGTCACCAATGACCAACATCATCAAATTTTATTCTTCTGTTCAACATTTCCCATAGAGATTTTAATTGCCTAAATGATTAATTCTTCTAGGACTACATAGGAAAATACTTATGCTTAACTACTAGGTAGTGTCATTTGTATCCTCAACTTCTGACTTTGGTGGACAGAACACATCTAGTTAACACTGTTTGTATAACAACGCCGTATGTACCTGAAGTTTATTGCCAATTCCCAAAGACTTAATAAGTATGCTTCTTAAAGTCCATTTTCCAAACTTGAAGTACTTACAGAATTTATTATGGATCCTTGCCAATTTCCCTTTGCTTTTTATGTCTCTTACAATTGGTGAGATCCAGATGAAGCACATTCCTTAATTTGCGATTATAAATTTTTGTCATCATATCACTCACTCCCTTTTGTGATAAGGAGTTCTGGAGTGAGGACTTCATATCTTTCCTTCAATTCCAATGTGAACTAGCTAGGGAGGAAAAAAAAAACAGAAAATGTCTCTGTGTGTTGAGTGAGTTTCAGGGATTTATATACACTAGATGAATATAATTAATATTTTAAGCGAGTTTCTGAAAAGAGATCAGGAACAGGTGAAAAGGTGCGATTTGCCAGTCCTTCCTGTCACCTTCCATTTTTGACCCCTGCAGTAGGGTTTGTTTAACACCCACAGGTAGCATGCTTGGTGCCAGGCCGAGAAAGCATGACAGATGCAATTCTCATCCTGGAAGGGCTCAGATCCGAAAATAGGTATCGCTGAGGTGAGGAAAAGGGTAAGTCACTGCCTGAAACGTGTGAAGATTCTTGGTTCTTTCAGAGTCTGTGCTCCTTTACCAAGGGTGCTCTTCAGAAGCTGGTAGCAAAAACGTGTCACGCCCAGGTGAGGCAACTCCGCACTGCTACCTCCTGGCCCTTCCAGAAGGGGCTGCTGGATCCCCACATGCTCTCTACCGCCGCCGTCTTCCTACTCCATCGCCTCCTTCTGCTCTTTCCCGTCCCCTCCCTGGGCTCCGTACACTATGACCCTTCTTTGCATATGGGCCTTGGGGTTTAGGCCCTGCATGTAGAGCCAGACCCGTACTTTCCTCGACACCTAGGTTCCCAAAACATTTCTAGTACTTTTTTTTTTTACCAGGGATCAAACTCGGAACCTTGCATTTGTGAGGCAGGCAGTGGAACCACTGAGCTCAATCCCCCGACCCCATTTCTATTACTTTCTAATTCTTTCTTCCTGCGGCAAAGCATTTCTAAAAAATAATAATGACACATCAAGTGTAATATATTTCTGTAAAGAGGCTGAGGATGTCTACTGCAAGGATGATAAATAATTCTTGCTGGTGAGGGGTGTAGACGTTCCTAACAGGACCCACATAGGTGGAGGTGGTCATGGGCACCGTACAGGAACAGATGGAAAATTCCTGGTAGAATTTGCATGGAGAGCGCTAAATCTTGGAAATATTTCAGCAACATTTGAGAACATGTGTAACGTGGCGAAAAGTACATGAAATGGAGAAAAGGAATAACAGAACAGTCTATTCTTCTAATTTGGGGCCGTGATAAGGACTTGGACAGTTCAGAAAAGAAACAGCAATGGAAGAATTCTAATGAGACTGATTCCATGCTTAAAGCTGTTGCTCATGGACTATTCTTGGTAAAATGTATAAGTACCCACAGCCTTCACTTCCTTTGTAAAATATGGTTGACTGCCTCTCAACAGAGTAAGCTGTCAAAAATAACAAAACAATCTTGGAAATCATTAATAAAAGTCTCCTTAAGCAGTAACTTTCTTTCCTGAATCTTTTCAAAACTGTACTCGATATTTCCACAAATTTACTTTGACACTTTTTGTCCTAATGGAACAGAGCTGTCCTGCTTAGATACGGAGATAACTTTTCCCTTTGTCAACTGAAAAAAAAATTATTCGTGTCTACAAAATTCTAATTGTGGTCACTAGAACCTAAAATAAGATGTGTGGGGACATTTTCCTTTAAAAAAATAATGCAGTAGAGCTAAACTGCTCAAGAAAAAGATAGTAAATAAAGCCATGGTGATGAGACGGTGCTGAATCAGGTAAAAAGCCACGGGTTGATGACAAGCCACATCATTTACAAATTTATTTTACAGAAACAAATGCATTTAAATCACTATTCAAGCACTCTCCCACATACTCTTGGCGGGTACGGTGTAAATTCACTGCTCATTTAGTGATAGCTCAGTTGATAAGCATGCTAATCAGGTGCACACAGGCAAGCCATCGCTTTGAGATGTACAAATACTTCCAGGCAACTACAGTGTGGCTTCCCTCGGCAGGGCACATATGTAGGAAAACACTGATCTTCTGCTGAGTCTGGTGACAACATTAGAGTCAATAAATGTTTAAAGTTAGCTGTTCAGTGGGGTTTACACATTCGGTGGCGATAAAACTCAGTGTTGTCCTGTTCAGAGGCTTTTTCTTTTTTGCTTGGTGTTTTAAAAATGCTGTCAGATGAGGTAATGTTTTATTGATCAGCCAATCCAACCACTTTTCGCCATGTATAAATAATTGCCAGGTGTTTCAGCAAATCCTAGTTGTAAAAGTGACTGGCGTCAACATTACTTGGTAAATTACTGTAATTCCTTACTCCACATTTTTCATATTTCAATTAACTTTTTCCCTGCACTGAGTACAAGGCCCTGAAATAAACACACAGTCAGAAATAGGTTTGTCATGCTCAAACGTTACTATTTCACAACGAGCCACCATGTTGGCACATAAGCTGTTAGGGAAATAACTTCATTGCTTTTTAATTGATCCTCACGCCTCTCTGACCATCATTAACAAGGCTCTTGTTACCAGCCGGCCTGCTGATAAACATCTTCACGTCATTAGCACTGCGCTGACAGCCAGGGGCTCACACCTCAGTTCCAGGGAGTGGAGAGAGGAAGAACTTTTCAGGGGTCCAGGAGACAGCTGGGGCCAGACACTCTCGGAGGTCAGGCGGATGGACACCTGGAGCCGTTCAGTAAGATTCCCGTGGAGAGAGGGACCCTGTGCCACTATTATCTATCGGCTGAGTTGGGGTCCAGGCAGCCCAGTTCCTGTGGATAAATACAGAACAGATGTGAGGTGAGTGCCTGTGTGGGCTGCGTGAAGGAGAATAGAGTTTCCATCACGAAATCTCCTTCCTAGATCCTGGAGATGGTAGAAAAAAATTTTTTAAAAAAGACCAGATTCTGTTAGTGGCATTTTAAGTGGGTATTCACAGCTGCTCTAGAAAATAATTGTGTGTGCCCATTATTTCAGGACAATAATCCTAGTGATGATTTTCTGAAAGTCCCCAAGTGTAAGATTCACCTAGGTATATAGAAGACACATGAGGTATAGATTTCACTGCTGACCACTTACTCAGTCTCCATGATCAAAGGTGGGATTTGAAAAGGATGAATTCTAGTCCCTCAGTGCCTTCTGCTGCTTTAGGATTGTGGTTACACATGGCTTTTTAAAACCAACATGTTGACTGTATTCAGAGAATAATTGGAATATTTCATTTTGGTTTGGTTCATAGTGATCCTTTTTAACCACCATCTTAGATTACGTTCCCTAATCATGCCAAATTAACTTAGGCTAAAGGATTAAAAGCAACAGACCAAAGTAGTTAACTGTAACATTTTAGAATAATTTGGGTTCTTCTTTGTTAAACAAAGAACACACACTATCTGAGTAAAGTCAGAAATTTTATATATTATTACAATCCTATACGAAAATCAGAACATGCGAAGATTCTTTTGTTTTTTTTTATTGAAGACAGACTTACTTTATAACTGACAGTTTTTTATTGATTCTCTTCACTACCTCATGTAAGAGAAATAGCCTAGCTTTTGACATTTGGCACACAAGGTTTCCTTTATCCATGTGAGATAAGTTACTCTGACAATATTGTGAGAGGAGCATGTTACATACTAAAAATTGCATGTTGTGAACCTTATTTATTAAACTTTATTTGGAAAATGTCGTGTCAGTTATATTTTATATATTTTTGTGTCTCAAGGAGAGAGGCTACAGGGTGTTTCAGTTCAACTTAAATGTTGTTTTCCATAAAACAATAATACAGTGGCACCTCAGTTCAGAACTTAACTTGTTCCGCCATTCTGGGGAGGATGGCTGAGTTTGTGTTTGTCACTTGATGCGAAGTTCACAAACAGAAGCAAAATTTTACCAAAGATTCTGTTTGCCAATTGAATTGTTCACAAACAGAAACACTAAAGAACTAAGGTACTACTATACTTGATACACTGGAGAAAAAACCCTTATGGTTGCTATGGTTGCTAACAAGAAACTGATTTATAAAGAATAAGGCAAAGTGTTCTGGGGTTGCTCTCTAACATTGTTTGTTTGTTTGTTTTTGGTACTGGGGATCGAACTTGGGTCCTTGCGTTTGAGAAGCAGGCGGCGGCAACCACTGAGCTAAATCCCGGGCCCTGGACTCTAACATCTTAACTACTACAGTAAAAGAAGAATGAGAGACCACTATTGCCATATGAGTGGTCAGGTGTTACTGTGCAGAAAGGAAAAGTCTGAAATTGTTTTGAAACTTTTATTGGGTCTTTGAGAACACACAAAAAAAAACTGCAGGTGATAGATTTTATGAATGATTCTAGAATTCCCTAGCAAATAAATGAATTAATTAATACTGTCTAACCTCAAACTATCCTGTCACTTCTACATTTAAAAAGTAAATTTTGTTGGGCATGATGGCACACACCTGTAATGTAAACACCCTTCAGGAAGCTGAGACAGGAGGATGACAAGTTTGAGACCAGCCCAGGCTACTTAATGAAACCCTGAATCAAAAAGTATAAAACAGTTTTTAAAGGGTTGGGTATATACCTCAGCAATAAGGTGTTTTCCTAGCATGTGTGAGGTGGTGAGCTCAATCCTTAGTACTACATGGGGAAAAAAAGTAAATCTCCACATGGTATATGCAAACTTCGAAATAGTATTCATCTCCGTTGTTGAGCTGCATTGAACATTTTTGATTAGAGAAAGCACATTCTTTAAATAATTTATCTCAATGTAATACAAGTAGACATCAATAAAGAAAATATTTTTCAAAAACAGTCTTCTTATGTCTATGAAAAAATAAAGCTCAATTTCCTAACAAATTAATTAAAGAATAACATCAAACACACTGTGCACCATAATCTGAAAAGAATGAGCCAAAACGTTAGAGTAAGACATACAAAAAAATGCTCTTATAAAAAAGAAACAAACAGATGATAGCACAAAACTCTTTTCAGTGAACTCAGAGGACCTAGCGGTATAAATAAGGACACTTTTAAACCTGGATTATTTTTTCTATGTCGTTATTATCCTTACACTTGAACTTTAAACTTTTTCTCTCTTCTTTGTCATTGGTGAATGTGGGGAAAATTGTAGCTACACAGTTTAATGTATTTCATTGTGATATGTGGGTGTAGAGCTAGACATTAAGCTGCATTACGTAGCTCGGAGTGGCTCCTTGCAAAGGGCTGTCCCGGGCTTCTTAGCACACACCCCGCATGCGGCGAGAAGAAAAGACTTGGATGAACAGGGAGAAAACCGAGGTGGTCTCCTTGCTGGAACTTCCTGAATTTCAAGATTGAAATGGAAACCTCGTGTTTATCATTAATGTTAGCTCTGTGTATATATCGAACCGGCTTCCTTTTAACACAGATAAAAACTTTTACAAACAAAAGGAGATGCCGGGCAGGTTATAATGCCAGCAAGCTCTGAACTGCACCTTTGAGAAGCCGGAAGTGTAAAGCGGGTGAGGCGGAAATACCGGGAGCGCCGAGCAGTGAGCGGGGAACAGGACGTGAGACCAGGTCCGAGGAAGCCTGGTGGGGGTCGGCGTGGCAGGTGAGTTCGGGACATTAACCCAGCAATAATCTGAAGCTGAGGAGGACGGAGCTCGCAGCCCTCGAGGTTACGGATCACGAGGGCGTGCTCCAACCGTGCAAGGCCTGGCCCTGGGCTGCAGGCGGGAGGGGGCCCTGGCCCGGGTCTCGGTCTGCGGCTTCCGCCTCCGGGAAGGCGGATGCGAGAGCCCTTCTGGTGAATGTCTGCAAGTTATGGTCCTCTTTGGCTGTTCCGTTTTAAAAGAACGGAATGACACAGAGGAGATGCGTTTTCTAGCAAGGTTCGCGCCAGCCTGGGACCTGGAGCCCAAGGGACAGCGAGGCCGGCTGCAAGGCCGTGCGGAGGCAGAGCCGGGCTGTCCTCGGGGAACCCGGGGCCTGGGCCGGGCCGTTCCCGCCCCCCAGACTCAGCTGCCTCGGTCCGGCCAGGGTCCTCATTCGGGAGGATGATCTTAGATAAATTGAGAGCTGCCTTTTGCTTGTTTTGTTTGCTATCCGCTTGCAGAGCACTGGGGAAGTAGAAAGTTCAGACAGCTGAGTAGAACTTGGGGCGACTGCTTGAAATCCGAAGATGGTGAGGTGAACTGCATTCCTAAGCCTTTTAAGGTAGTCATTAGCGAGCATATTGCCGCCAGGGCAGGTAAAATTCATCTCATTAATTTTAATTGGGGAAAGTCATCTTTACTTCCTTTTCCTAAAGCCCACACTTCATTCCACGGTTTAATTATGTTATTAATGTCCCTCCCCACAAAAGCAGCTCATCTCTTCCCGGTGTGCTAATAAGCGTCTCGCAATGGTTCACCCACGGCTTCCCAGCTGTTTTCGTGCCCTTAATCCCCCACGCTGGCCCTCTTCTCAGCAAATGAGCTCACTTTCTGTCATGGAGGAGCTGCAAAGCCATTTAGCACAAACGGCCTCCTCTGTCCTCTTTCCCTAATGAAGTCTTGGGCAGAGAGGGCTTTCGGCCTAGAGCTGGCCTGGCTCCCCACTTCTCCAGGCACGGTGGGGAGCAGAAATGCCAGCCCTGCCTGACGGGGCCTCCTGCAAGCGCGGAGTCTCTGGCCTGAGCGAGAAAGGCGGACTGAGGAAGACGCCAGGGCGCGGGCACACATCCACTCCTGTCCTGGGTCCCCCTCAGCCGCATGGCCCCCAAGACTGTCTCCCTGGGACCATCTTCTCCTTGTAACGTGTCCGTGTCCTCCTCCCTGTCGGCTTCTCCAATGATCGTAGCTTTTTCTACCTCGTCCTTTTTGCTACCTTCTCTTCACACCGGTTTTCACTTAAATACTTTATACTCTCAGAGATGCATAGCATATCCTCGCCTTGCGTTGGTGTTCTTAGCAGCTTTTCATGCTGATGCCCCCGCTTTGACCTCCACGCCCACCCCTCGGCTGAAGGGCTCCATCTCGCGCCTCCTGCCTCCACACCCTTGTAACTGTTCATGCTGTCCGCGTTCCCTGACGCTTCCTCGCACGGCTGCGGGGACCTGAGGCCTCCCGAGGACCTGGTGCCCAGCGTGGGCTCCTTCCTCTCTCCTGATCTCAGTTGTGGTTGAAGAATTAGTGGGGAGGATGCTGAACACGAGAGGCTTTGATCACGTTGGGCTTGGAATCCTGTCACTGCGGCATTTGAGGGTGATCAGAATGAAATCCAGAAGGTGTGCACATATTTATTCAAAACAAAGGGAAGAAAGAAACATAAGGAGCTGCCCTGGGGGCCAGAATAACCCCTACCAGATTCTGTGGACGCCGTCTTCTAAGCGAGCCAACGAAATGTGCCCAACAGCTCTTGGATTTTCTTTTCCTGATTGGGGATTTGCGTACTGTAATTATTCCTTTCATGGAGGGGTTTGTCCGCCGAGTTCTCCCTCCCCCGATTTGGTAAAAGAAACTTTTGCAATGGAAAAGTTATCAATCAGTACAGAAAGTAAACAAAGAAAAACTATGACCCAGAATTCTTTCTTCTCAGAAAGAACAACTTCAGGGGTTCTTTTTTTTTTTTCTGGAGACAGGGTGTTGCTATATAGTTAGGCCGGCCTGGAGTATTCCAGGCTGACCTTGAACTCACAAAAGATCCTCCTGCCTCAGGCTCCACTGAGTGCTGGAATTATAGGCGTGCACTACCACACCTGACTGGGGTTCTTTTTTTTTTTTTTTAATTTTCACACCGAAGATGGATAGGTAGCTAGGAAGGGAGGCAGC